TCTTCCCTGTGCCTGCGCCTGCGCCGTCTTTTCTTCCCTGTGCCTGTTGGTGATGATATTTCTGGGCCTTGTCTTTGTGGATAACCCGGTGCCCCGGGGCCCTGTCTGTTACTAGTGTCCTTGCCCAGGTCTCGTTGATTCTGCACGTTGACCGGAAACCGAGTCAAGCAACTTCGGTGCCCTCTAATATCATGGGGTTCTTTGGGATAACCGCTATAGCACCAAGTATTCATTGGGCGTGTTCATTTGTTTCAGTGTGCACAAGTGTTCATAAATACAAATACAAAGAGTGATTTGGAAAAAGCACGGGTGTAAATAATGCAATTCTTGATGATGGAATTAATATCGGCGCTGCCAGACTTATACATTGTAACAAATTGCCATAAACTCACGGTGCATTTCTAACGGTATCTTACAGTATGTCATAACTGTAACATACAGTTAAATGTCCATCCCTTGCTTGTTAATTAACGGGAAATGTCATGAATAAACAGTTAACGCTGTGAATTTACAATAATAGCAGACCACTGTAGTTCAACTGCATGTTATATATATTTTAAGAAGTGGTGGAAATACACATATAAGTCCAGTGAATCACAATCCATCTACATCTTTTGTAGGTTAATGTATGGAAGCCCATGTCAGCCACTGAAAAACAGGTCCTGTAAGTCATAATAATGAGATAGTATCTCATGAGATACAATGATGACTTTGACTTACAGGACATATACATGTAGCTTCACTTTTATCCAAAACGCCCATGGTTTGACATCATTTTATGTGGAGTGATTGGGGGTTAGGTGTCTTGCTCAGTGACACTTCAACCTGGCACAGGGAGCAGCAAGGATTCAAACCGCCAACCTTGTGCTGCACAGCACACCCTCCCCATCCCATGTGCCGCCTTCACTGTCGTTTCAGTGGCCAGAATGTAAAGATTATAAAAATGTGTATTATTCAAAGTGTTCATTACCTAAAACTCATTTGAGTGTTAATCGTGACCATTTGCTCCTGAATGTGACGTCAGACCCGTAATCTCAGTTCATCCAGAACACCTGTCAGTGCAGTTCAACATCGGAGGAGTTTCTTATTGCCTCGTCTCTCCAAGTAACGTCGGTAAGTGTTATTTGCCTAGCATGATTAACATTCTCCTTCCTTACATCTTGTTGTCTTCCTTCAACAATTTTAATATTTTACCATTGACAGTGTTTCTAAATATTTAATTTTGGTTTGTTTTACAGTAGCCACTAGATTAAGGACGCCAGTCGTTTGCTGCGGTCAATTGAAAGTGTTCCATAGCGTATTGTTGCAGTTAGTTACCTTGTTCCTAATGATTTTATGATTCATTTTTTTTATTATTGTAAACATGGGGCATATTTTATGTTTATGTTTTGTTCACAGTAAAATTCGGTAAAATTTACGGTAACATACAGTAATCCATTTTAAGGTAACATAGTGTAATAACCATTTACGGCATTATACCGTAAAATAACGGTCAATTCCTGGCGTCCTTGCTGCCAGTAAAATACCATTAATTTGCAGTGAAATTTTTTAGAGTGTACCGTTGGAATAGAACAGAACCACCTTTGCTTGTCATGACTTACGACTATTGCTTGAGCAAAACCTGGCTACAATCTACTGTATGCAGTCCAAAGAACATTTGAGCTAGCATATAAGTAAAACAAAATGAATAATGGGCATGTCATGACGAAGGCTTACGCTGTCTCCTTAAAACACAGAAAGAGCTCATTGACTTGTCTTGCTAATGGAAACATTAGCAGACACTGACTTGAATGATTATTTGTTGCAGCAGTGTCCCTTCTCTCCTCCTACACATGACAGGCTTCATAAGGTGCTGTGCAGTCCAAGCAGGTGTTTATGCATTAAGCTGGATATGCAGCTGATTTATTAAAACCTTCTCATGCCAACCACATCTCTGATAACAGGACCTTTATTGAAAAAGACAGAACTTAATTACCGTAACCACCTTTGTGTGATTACATTGATCCCCCCCTGTGGTTGACCAAGTCAGCAGGGGTCTCCCGGGGAAATGACCCTGAGGGGACATGAGCCTTCACAAGATGAGAGAAATAACTTTGGAGTAGAGGGCCAAAATAAGCAGTGTCGTAAAGTAGTGAGACAATGGACGGACAGAAGAAGACCTCCTATGGGGACCTGAATCATATGATGGGCTTAAGTTTACTTTCCTACTCATATAAATTGCAAGACAATATAAACTCCACCAACGACTTGGTCCTCACCGGGATCATTCTCGAAAAGGTCTGTTCCCAGTCATCAATTTATTATATTTGAAAAAAATCAAAGAGACATGTTGTCAATTCGCTATAGCTTTTTATTAGATAATTTATGATGTCTCCATTATTTAACTTCACCACAATAACACAGTGGGCATTTATCTCCACTTAGTGTTGTTTTAAGAGGCGACACTGGTCTCAGGAGTTAAAATCCATCCCTTTCAGGTTTCTCAAAGGGACTCCTTCACTTGGTCATCCAGTCGGTGAGTAATGCCACTTAAATGCCACCGTGACAAAATCATGAGAAAAAAAAGAGGGGTGGCAGACTTCCACCGGGAGCCACAGGCAACACTGTGTCTGGGGCAGGGGGCTTCATTTCACAGGCACTGCAGGGCTTAAAGTTGAAGATTACTTTGAAATCTGCATCCCCTACCATCAAACTCTGGCGCTGGAGAGCCCGCCCTCCCTCCTCCCTCCAGCCGTCACTCCTTCTCCCGGAAAAATGAAAAGCTGTTGCCACAGAGCAGGGGATGAGTTGGGCAGAGCAGATCCTCTTTGATGACAGAGAAGGATCCTTTTGTTCCCTAATCCTCATCCCCCCACCCCCACCCCCCCTCCCCCTCTCACCCTTCGTATAAATCCAACCGGACGTCAAAGGGCTTCATAACCAGCTAGGGGCTCAAAAGTAAATAGTGTAGTTGTTTTACTTTGAAATAAATTACATGTGATAGGGATGTCCTGTCAAGACAACTCACTACAAGTCTTCTAATTGTGGTCCTTTCAGTGTTAGCGAATGTCTAGTTGAGAGCCATAAGAACTTAAAAGAAGCATATCATCACGAAAAATACCCTAACAAGTCACATGACACTGGTCAGCGCTTGGGATAGGTGGATCCTGAGAGAGCATATCAGCCAATGTGCATGCTGTCGGGGTGCATGGGTCACCCAGAGACAGAAGTTCAGGATACATTTCCTTTCTTCCTTTTCCTTTTAGTGTGTGCAAAGTGTGTCCTTGTGTAATTATCAGATTGGACACAGGAATTTCACAGAGGAGATGAAAGTGTTCTCTTTGCTTATAACATCTGCCCTCCGATGGTTTGTGTCCTAATCAAGATGACCTCAAACATAGCCCGAGGAGAGCGATTATCACCACTTTGTATAAGCGCTCTGGCTCGGCCATGTGATCACATGATGGTGTGAATGGTGTGCATCTAAGAGGAGGAAAAAGCATGAACTTGTGTGTTTGCATGCATGTTTTGGGGAAATTCACAGACATATGGCCTAACAGGCATGAAAAACACTCAAAAGACCCATGAGAAGGGATCAGTGTCCAGGGTTGAAGGGTCAAACATGACTTACCTAGCCCTGTCACTTTTATTTTGTTGGTCTTTAGACGTCAAAGAAGACTTTACTTTGTCGTGAAGTGTTGGATCTCCTCTTTGTCAAGTTTAAATGACATTAAGATAGATTGCGGTGCAAAGCCCTTACAGTAGAAATGTACAACGACTCCCTCGAGTGTATAAATGTGGAATTGCATAAAATTAAACAACGGACTGTTTCACCTTTTTCAATTTTTAAATGAAATATGAAATATATAAAAATTCTGTTTGTTGCTTCTTCTTTTTTTAGATCTCAGACTTCTGCGGTCACTCATATAAAAAGTAGTTTGTTTGTAATTTGCACATGTCCGCCGCAGGTCCACACTCACTCACACACACAATAAACCAACCAAGAGGTATTTTAAGGTTGAGTATTGTTTAAATATAATGGCCATACTAGTTTCAACACCAGTTGTCAGATATTTTTGGTATGCGCTTCTTTTGCGTTTGTTATTAGATCTGGATTGGAAAGGAAGCAAGACCAGAAGAAGCGTTCACCACATCGGAATTTTACAATTGAGCGACAGTGGTCCAGATACTTTCACATCCTCTGAATTAGTTACTCTTGTATTTGTTATTGTTTGATTATGTTAAACACAACACGCCTACTGGTAGAAAGGTTATTGCAAGCACTAAATGCTGGTGTGGGATAGAGTTGGGTATTACAAAGATGAGGAAAACATAAATTAGCACCACCTAAATGATAAATGTATTGCATTGGCAACATGTGTATGTCGGCTCTCTTGTCCCACTTTTGCCAGGGTCAATGAGGGCAATGTCGCTGCTGTGCTCAGCAATGAATAAAGCTACAATTTAGGTCTAGTGAGAAACTGAACTTAATGCCAACAGTGAAATTTATTACATAGCTGACGCTTTTATCCAAAGCGACTTACATTACACTTTAAACCCATGGCTTTTTAAAAATATTTTGCCCAGGGAGCAATTAGGGTTTAGGCGTCTTGCTCAGGGACACTTCGACTTGAGACATGGGGAAGCCATGGGGAATATGAACCTATGTATCCTTTCTCTATTTCAGTCCCTTTAATCTGACATTGTTTTACGGTTTTTGAAAGGAAGCTACAGCGCAGCAGCTTTCTGCAGTTTTTCACGGCTGGTTAATTAGCCATTAAATCATATGATGTAACCAATACTGTATCGACCATCGCTGCGGTACATTAAGCTTACAGACTAGTCGCTACGGCTCGCTAGGCAACACACTAGCACATAAATACAAGGTACGGGCGACACATTCAGAGGTTCCCGTGTCCGGTCGCGAGAAATGACGCCCCAGACTCTCGTGACCGCTGGTAACCTCGCTCCGCCGCTCTAAGCACGCGCCACCTCAGCGCTCCAATCGCTGATGGAGAAGTGTCCTGACGTCATTTCCCAGCTTCCGGGCTGTTAGCATTGGCCAGGAGACGCTCAATTTTAGAATTTCCCTTAATTTTACGTACGTTTCATAACAGACGGGCAGTTCTGATTTAATAGCAAGCGCATCCTGCTAATAGAATATATCAGCATAATGTCAGATTACTGGTTACAGGGATAAGGACACGCAAATCAACGCCGGCCGGCAACGACGCAGGCGGCTGAGAAAAGAGGTAAGACTGTACTGCTGCGTGTGCGCTCTGCAGATGTGAAAGAGAGTCACCGGTTTCCCCCCCCCCCAAAAAAAACCATCACGTTGTCTCTAATGTGCCAGATGTTACCGTGCAATCACATCCGAGTCCCGCCTCTCGATTCTGAACTGCATTTCGGTGATGTGGCTGATGTGTACGACGCCAGCAGCGGGCCAACAACAGCCGCAGCGGTTAGCCGCGCAGCCCTGAATGCTAGCTGCCCATGCTAGCTGCTAGCGCGTCTTCAAGCTGTCCGCTGGAAACGCATTCGGCGTAGTGATGCGTGACCTGCTGTTAGCTGGTGACTAGAGGACGCGTGCCGCGGTCATATTACCCGCGTGTGTTTGATCGCAATCACACTTACGATTGTTGTAACAGTGTAACAGTGCTGCGCTACGAGCGTCCTACGTTGGTATCTACCGCGGATGTAAGATAACGACACACCATTCAAAACATGGGGGTTCCAAGCGCGAATCGAGTGCTTGTCAAAGGGACGAAGATATATTGGTATTATACAGGTTAATAACATGTATTCATCCGATTGAACGATGTAAGTTAAGTTATTATATGATGTATATTAATTATATGATGTAGGGAATGCGTCATACAATCACAAGATAATTTAGCATTATCCTGTTTTCCCAATTTTCATTTAGTGTTTTAAAATATATGACATGTCGAATTATTACTCTGATAAATTCATTGAAAGCTTAAATGTGTGTATGGTTTTGTGGTGCTCTTTATCGGAATGTGTAGTAACACAGAAATGTTGGTCCATTATTATCCCATTAGCTTTTTGTCGTTTTCATCTTGTGGCACATGCTGTTGGAATAGTTGTTAGGAGCAAGTGTGTCCACCTCATTTAAATGACAGCAGCCAGCCAGTGAATCCTACAGCGTTAAACAGTGTTGTTTTTTTAAGCCACCTGTCTTTGGCTGCTATGTTTCCGTCAACAGAATTGTGTCAGTTGGTTTGTGGAACTTGATTTGCCTGTGAGACCAGGACAGTTCATGCAACGTTCATTTAAGTGCTGGATGGTAAAACACACACACACACACAGTTTGTGTGAATAGACACGGGGAGTACTCTCTGATTGCATCCACATCCACGTGCACACATAAACATGCTTCATTGGAAGGTGAGAGGCGATTTATTGATTTCGTGCTGTAGAACACTATATATTGGCCATAGTGTCACGGTGGTTGAGTGTGTGAGACGAGCGTGGTGCATTGCAGGTGATCGTCGCTGGGTGCCGATTCACCCTCTAACTGAAGTCAAACGTCTGCACACACTTCTCCTTTTACCACGGACATGTACAATGTTATTGGATAAACTATTTGTTTGTCTCAATAAGAGCTTTTTTAATAAGTCGCTAAGCATGTATTATTACACATTGGTATTTGGGTCTTTTTTTTTTTTGTATCAATAACACCAGGAGCGGCCCGCCTCGTCGGCAAGTGTTAGATTCTTCTGCGTTCTGTCACTTCAGCCGGCCATGACCTCTTGTTTTAAGCAGCAGCCCGAGTCACTGTCGCTAGTTGTGGCGTCCTCAGACTCCTTGCAAACTACACCGTGGCCATGAGGGTGCTAAAAATAGCTGAGCTCGGGGAGAAAATCTAAAAATACAAAATCAGCCAATCAACTAGTAAGCGTTTTACTTAAGGATGAGATTATTAATGCCAGAATATCTGGTGAGATGTGACCGACAGTCGGTCTAAGAATAGACCGAAACGGTCTTTAGGCCAGCAGGGATTCATTTACAAGGAGGCAACAGCACACTTTAGATTCTCCGTCATACTGCCGGATGTCCTGATGCATCATTTTACACCAGACCGTACTTCTAATATTTCCCTCTGCGTTTCTGTGTTGCAGTTCTGGTTGAAATCCACCGCCTGCGACCTTCAGCCACAGCGGTCGGAGCACTGAGCCATCGGTGAGATCACTGCAGGTCTGCTCGGATTCTTCTCCGGCACCGCCGTCTTCCCCCAAAACATGAAGTTGAAGGAGGACGTGAACCCCGTGCTGCTGCAGGTCTTCCGCTCCGTCGTCTGGGTGTACTCGGTCATCACCTTCATACCCTGGTACTTCTTCTCGGGAGCCGGTGGCAACTTGGAACGAGCTCGCCGCATCAAGGCCAGCTCCATTAGCGGACACCCGGCGGGGCCTTACAGGGCCGTCAACAGCCAGGAGAAGCTGTCGGCGTGGCTGCACCCCAGCGTGGACTCCCTGGACAAAATATTTGAATACGCCGCAAGTCGGTTTCCAAAGAGAGACTGTCTGGGAACGAGGGAGGTGCTGAGTGAGGAGGACGAGCTCCAGCCCAACGGCAAGGTCTTCAAGAAGGTGAGAGTCAGTCCCCTGGTTGTAGGTGTAGAACGGGGAAGCTTGAAGTGAATCTGTGGGATTACTGGATGTTTGCCAGCGAGCGTTGGGCTGACGCAGATGTCTGCCACTGTGCACAGTGGGAGGAATGTGGCAGGAAGAGCAGCACTGTGACGGGGGCCTTTTTTCCTCATCGGCAGCTGTTGTAGCTTCGAAAGCCCCGTAGGTGTCGCCAACTGTCAGCATATGAAGGATGATGTCAGGCAACAGGCGACGTCTTTCAGATCCAACCGACATTTGCCTTTTTCATTATACTGTGGCACAGAGAAACAGTGCTCATATCAGCCCATCAATGTAAATACAATTGGTTCCCAAGAATCATTGAATCATTGACTTACTGCAGAGAAGATTCTCTGAATCTACCCGACCTGAACAGTGTATTCGCAGACCTCAGTTTTCATGTTGTTTTTTGTGTCATGTTGGGAAATGAATCCTGAAGATTGCATATATAACCTCTGTATCTTTTTAGGTGATACTCGGAAACTACAACTGGCTGTCATACGAGGAAACCTACGAGGCGTCAAAGAGTTTCGGCAGCGGCCTGGCGGCGCTCGGCCAGAGGCCCAAGTGCAACATCGCCATCTTCTGTGAGACCAGAGCGGAGTGGGTGGTAGCGGCGCAAGCCTGCTTCATGTACAACTTTCCACGTAAGTGGCAAGGGAGACCAGTAAATGTGTATCCATCCAAATCCCCGACCCGCGGTCCAGGACTTGAGACCAACCAAACTGGCTTTGAATTCGACAGTTGTGACCCTGTACTCCACCCTCGGACCCACGGCCATCGCCCACGGCCTGAACGAGACGGAGATCACGCACATCATCACGAGCAAAGACCTGCTCCAGAGCCGCCTCAAGGTACCCGCTCGACCGCCCTCATCCGTCTCCGGGATGCACTTATACTTCTCTGAATTGGAGGGTGTTTGTTTGTTTGTTTGTGTGTGTGTGTTGGTACTATTTGCACTAATACTTCTCGTTTTTCGATTCTTCTCGATCGCCTTGCCGCCGGCCTCCCACACCCAACTCCACGTGCCAGGCGATAGTGTGCGACGTGCCGAGACTGCAATATATCATTTTAGTCGACAGTAAACTGACGAGCTGTCCAAGCGTTCCCAGAGGCATCATGGTCTACAACATGGATGCTGTGAAGGCGATGGGATCCAGGCCCGACAGCAGTGAGTGTTTAAACATTTTGATTAAAGAGCTTTTCTGATTTTGTCGCGGAAATGGGAGCACGCTGATGGGGGGCTTAATGAAAAGCCAACACCCTGATGATTAATTGGAGTGCTGTGCTGTGCATGAGTCAGGAAGAGGTCAAAAAGCATTCTCCAGACAACGACGTCGGTCGACATTTTAGGAAAATTGGTGGAAACAGAAGTTAGGGTTACATAACAATAATCTCCTGAGCTACTTTTAGAATTTCTATCTGACCGTATTTAATGAAGACAATGCTGGAATTTTTTGATAGATAAGGTACTGCAAAATGACAACAAAATATAACATACATGTGAATCATTTGTGTCCTTCACAATCACGTAGAAAACAGAAACCACATTTGATTGCAATTATTTGCACTGTACATTTCTGTAAATTGGTTAAAAAAAAGGTGCTAAATCCTCTGCAGCTTTACCGACAATTGGTTAATAAATATGTAGCTTTTTCAATGTGAGAATTTGCTGCTTTTTAGGGTTTTTTTTTTATTTAAGATTGTCTTTGCTTCTTTATGGGTTTTTTGAGCAACACAAGCATTTGGGTCTTCATGGCTCTCTGACGATTTAAAGATTAAATGCTAAATTGAGAAAAATAGCATAGTAGTGACATATTCAGATCCCGTCATAGCATACAGCTTTTTGAAATCATCTTTTTACAGATCTGTACTTGAGACTTCTTCTCACACACACACACACACACATATATATTATTCGAATGAATAATGTTGATGACTATGTGATCCGTTTCACCCCTCTGCCTGTCCAGTGGCGGTAGACCGCAGAAAGCCAGAGTCCTCGGACATCGCGGTCATCATGTACACCAGCGGCTCCACGGGGATCCCCAAGGGCGTCATGATCTCCCACGGCAACATCATTGCCGGCATCACTGGCATGGCGGAGCGACTCCCAAATCTCAAGTACGCCAATTCTAGAGTACCCCTCCCCTCTTTCTGCAACCTACCAAATATCTCTGCTTCCGAATATACGCACAATATTGCCATTTCTGTTTCTACTGTGGAAATTAACCCGCAACATTTGTCTGTGCCGGCAGTGAAACAGACACATATATCGGCTACCTGCCGTTGGCGCACGTTTTGGAGCTGAGCGCGGAACTTGTGTGCATCTCTCACGGCTGTCGCATCGGCTACTCCTCCCCCCAGACTCTAGCCGACCAGGTCAGTGTATAAAAGTACACACACACACACACACACACAAACTCCCCGTGGGCAGTGATGTGTGCTGTGTCTGAATTGAATGTGTTGCGCAGTTACTCTGGGTATGAGTGCGCACGTGGCCTCACCAGAAGGTGTCAGTACGCAATAAGAAGTGAGGGTACTCACGACGAGCCGATTCAGGCACTAAGGGGCACAGTTATTGCTGCTATGGTGCTGTCTATACAGCTGCCATGGAAAATAGCCAGCGTGTATTTTGGCTTTTTACATTGTCGTCTAAAAAATGTCACTAGACGCTAGTTAAATTTAGATTCCATTCAGTATTGCTTAGATATTTTTGATTTTTTGTTTTCAGTCTACCAAGATAAAGAAGGGCAGTAAAGGGGATACCAGTGTGCTGAAACCTACTCTCATGGCTGCTGTACCAGTAAGTCTTTATTCATCACTTCAAAAAACCAATCAGATTATGTCTGTAACATGGCCTCAAATTTAATTTTCTAACATTATTTCTGAACTACAGTCGGACCACCAAATAACATAGTTATATACTGAGTGTACACATACACATATATCCAAATGTCAGAAGTGTAACTCTGGGTTTTCCCACCTGATGCGTTTAGGAGATCATGGATCGAATCTACAAGAATGTGATGACCAAAGTAGAGGAGATGAGCAAACTCCAGAAGACGCTCTTTGTGCTGGCTTACAACTACAAGATGGAGCAGATCTCCAAAGGCTACAGCACGCCGCTGTGTGACAGGTGAAACACGCATCATAAACACAAGGAGTATCAGCCTCTGTTACTACTTGGCTAAACAAATAATAAAAAACCTTGTGTGAATTCCTGTCAACACTGAGTCTGCAGTTCATTCAGAAATGGCTTTTTATTTATTTTGTTGTTGCTGGAATCGCCGGCGCCCTTCACTCATCTTGTCTCCGGCGCGCGCTTTCACAGTCTGGTGTTCAAGCGGGTGCGCGCGCTCCTCGGGGGGAACATGCGGGTGCTGCTCTCGGGTGGAGCGCCGCTCTCGGCCGCCACGCAGCACTTCATGAACATCTGCCTGTGCTGCCCCGTGGGGCAGGGCTACGGCCTGACGGAGACCTGTGGAGCCGGCACCATCAGTGAGAGTAAGGGAGTGGATTCCAATGTCAAACAGTGGTGGTTTTTTTGGCCCCCCCATCCTCTTTCCCCTATAAATGAGTTGATTTGTACACATTACCAATTTTGTTTTTAAACAGGAGTCTCTGCTGCTCTCTGGGGTTTTTTTCTTATTATTTTGCAGTTTGGGACTACAGCACAGGGCGGGTCGGTGCTCCACTCATTTGCTCCGAGATTACGCTGAAGGACTGGGAGGAGGGTGAGTCGATGGGCGGCAACAACCCAACAGAGAAGGCGACAAATGATGCGTCGATGTGGTGATAATTGAGGTCTGTGCACCCCCCCAGGTGGATACTACAGCACGGACAAGCCCAACCCACGGGGGGAAATTGTGATCGGCGGCCCGAATGTAACGATGGGTTACTACAAGAAGGAGTCCCGGAACCGCGAGGACTTTTACGTGGACGAGCACGGCCAGAGATGGTTCTGCACCGGGGACATCGGGGAGATCCACTCTGACGGATGCCTTAAGATCATCGGTACGACATGAATCAAACGCGTGCATGTGTGCTGCACGAGCGTGTAACGTGTATGAGGAGTGTGACGTGTGAACCCCCCCTCCCTCCCCCTACACACCCCACACACACACTTCCACAGATCGCAAGAAGGACCTGGTGAAATTGCAGGCAGGCGAGTATGTCTCTCTTGGAAAAGTGGAAGCTGTCTTGAAGAACTGCTCACTCATAGACAACATCTGTGCGTATGCCAACAGGTAAAATCACACACATCACAGCCAGTGTCCTTTCTCACGTTCTATCTTGTTTTTTTTCTCTCTTGCTAACGGTGATTAAGATGTAAACTTGCAGACTCTTGTGCGCCCTATTCTTTAGTGACCAGTCGTACGTGATAAGCTTCGTGGTGCCCAACCACAAGCAGCTGATGGTGCTGGCGGAGCAGATGCAGCTGAAGGGCACACGGGAGGAGATCTGCAACAACGCCCAGATGGAGAAAGAGGTCCTGCGCATCATCACGGAGGCGGCCGTCTCAGGTAGGGAGACAAAGGCCGTGCGTGCTCTCTCTGTTCATTTTCATTGTGCCGTTGCACACTGAGAAGAGGTGTCAATGAAGCCTCGGAAGAACCCAGAGTGGTGGCGCTCTCAGTCATAACCTGCGAGGCAGACGGCGTCAGACTTGCACCAGTTATTGCACTTGTCGATGTCACCCTAACTTGTGATTCTGCTCTCCCCCACAACCAGCGAAAATGGAGCGATTTGAGATCCCCAAGAAGATCCGACTGAGCGCCGAGCCCTGGACGCCAGAGACCGGGCTGGTCACTGACGCATTCAAACTGAAACGCAAGGAGCTCAAATCGCACTACCAAGACGACATAGAGCGGATGTACGGAGGAAAATAACGCACCCGAATACACTCCAGGCAACATGTATATATCCCTGCGCAACATACAGAAGGAGCCACTATACTTACAAATTACTACAGACACATAGGAGCATCTCATGCACCTCCGCTTCCCTAACACCAGCTTCGATCCAAAGAGGGGGGCGGCCTCTTTTGACCACGGGGGTGTCGCACAAAGTAAACTTTCACATGACTCGAAGTGAAGCAAATGTCTGATGCAGATATACATCAAGCCTATGTCAACGTCCCCCCTTTGCCCGCTCCCCCCATTTGTTTTGGAGTCTTCCTTCAGTTCAGATGGTCGCGTACGTGTAGTGGCAGGTAGCTGGCAGGGAAATGGGCTTGCATGGTCCCGATGGACGTGTCCCTCTGTGCTTTAAGTGGGTGTTAGGTTGTAATCAATGCAGGGATATTTTCTTTCTTTCTTTCTCCTTCCATGTTTTCTTCAGGTTTGGTTTGTCAGCTTTGAAACCATTTGAGTGTTTTTGTGTGTGAAGATCAGTGTTGCAAAGCCATGAGAGATTGAGCATCAAGATGTTTTTTTAATGACATTTTCCAATGTTATTTTATGTTTTAACATTCTGAGTCTTTCATTTCCTGTTTTTTTTTATTGCCAATTTGTTTATGCTAATTTACTTTAAGCTTTTTATTGTCTTTTCGTGTCCCAAAGTTTCTTCATTTTATTGTTTCCATCCCTGCTCCCGCCCCCCTTGTCGCCCACTACTCCCGGATGCGTCCTGACTTGTGTCTCATGATTACTGGTTGGTTCACTGACGAACCGTAGCCCTGCTGCGTATTCCTCCTGTCGTGACCAATATCCTGTATGGACGTCTACAAAGGAACTTTTCCCACCTTGTTACACTAGTTTGCCCAGTTACATTTTGGCGCAACTGTACATGTTTTACTTTTTTTTTTGCGCCATATGTCTACTTACTGTTACTTTTGTCTTTTTTTTATACTTATGAGTATGAACTACAAAATGAATGTGCAATATTTATACACAAATTTTAAGTATGTAAGAAGGAAAAGAAACTGGCCTATAGCGATGCCTCCGTAGTGTTGAATGTTTAGGCCTTTTGCCCAATAGGCACGGGATTAACGAAGAGGGTGGTAGAGAGACACTGATGCAGCCCGTGTGAACATGCTGTGCTTAACAATGTAAAGTCCTTAAATATTATGCTTTTTAATAAGACCGTAAAGTAGAGAAAAAATACTTGACATTGAAGAAATTGATGCATGATAAAAAAAGAACATAACGCCTAGTTATTATACATGTGTGTGAGAGGGAAATAAGGGGATCACACTCCAGTCGAGACAACTGAGGACATTCCTTATAAATCGGCTCCCTATTGACCTGTTTGTGTTTAACGTATATTCACCGGACCTCGTAAAGAGAAGATAACACTTCATTTGGTTTTGCTGTATGATAATGTATGTGCTATGTATATAAAAGGGTGAACTGCCATTCATTTGATCCCCCATATAACACACACATTAATTACTGTCTTTAAAAAAAAATCAGTGGCGATATTCTGTTCAGTTAATGAGCAGATTATTCTTATTAATTTTTTGGGCAGTGGTCTCCCACTGAAGACCCTTAGCAATAATAAAAATACAATCAGGTACTCTAACTTTTCCTCTAGCCAGATGTCTACTATCTCAATGGGGTCACTTTAGCATTAATAATTGACAGTATCATATTGCCATTCTTACCTCTTTTTCTTTTTTTAATCGAGTTTCTTTTTCCTGACATTTCAGTGGAAAGCAGCGTGCTGCTTTTCATCTTTCTCACTAGAGGTGGCAAGTTGCCTCTGAACGCACACACAGGCTGTCTTCAGAGGTCCTAAGAATGGGAAGAACTCCCCGTGTTTTGATGGCACACAAGGGCGTGCACCGCTACATCCATTTTTAACCAACGGCGAGACAAAGAGTGGGTGGTGCAAAGACCACTTGTGTTGTTCTCCCTCGCTCGAAAACAGACTGAGATGGGAGTTGATCAATGATTCAAGTTCATTCAAACTACCAATATATTGTACAGGTGTGTACAAGTCTCCTGTTGATATATTTAATGACCTCTGTTTAGGACGAGTTTTTGGGGTCTCCTTGTTTTGTGTGGTCAATGGGTCCCGGCTGCCGGGCTATTGCAAGTGTTTACTTCCTTATTTATTCGTGAGTTGGCCTTGACAATTCTGAAATAAATCCAATAAAGAACGGTGTTGTAATTACTGCTGGTATTTGTGTGTTTTTGAGCTGCGTTCAACGCCTGATCAACGCAATCTGCGCGGCACGACGTGTGACTGATCGGATCGGCAGCTTGATTAGAATCCTGAAACCAGTTTCTATGGCAACAAGAGGCCAGCGTGTCTCTGAATGGGTGTTTGAGTGAATGTGGTTTGTGAAAGAGTTGTGTGGTTTGCGGATGCGTATGGAACATGCAGTCCTTAGAGTCAACATTCAATCAGCGGTGATTCTTTTCAAATCCTTTCCAGGCAGAGTAGCTGACTGTATCGTTGTTGATATTGTTGATCTATAAGATAAGTGAAAACATTGGCCATCCCAGTTTTCAAAAGACGAATCGGAACCTACACAGTATTTGAGAAGGAAAACATAAGAGATCAACCAGCCTCTCAAACAAAATCCCACTAAAAACACAGGGTTTTGTTTGATTTCAAATGAAATGCAAAAGCGGCACAAAAGAGTAGCCGTGAGACCATCGAGACATGAGCGATTCTTCTAGCCTCTCCTCTCCTGTCCTCCTGTCCTCCTCTCCTCTCCTCTCCTCTCCTCTCCTCTCCTCTCCTCTCCTCCGTTCCTTCCATCCAACCCTATGGGACTGGAGAGTGCGTCAGAGGCATAATGCTCCCTTCATTAGCCAACCGGTTCTGACGCAGACACACACACACTGAGTTCCTCTGCCACAGAGACAACAACAACAGCACCAAGCAGCCAGCAACTGTGAAGGACATCTTCCATATTGTTAGTTGTGTGTGTGTGCGTGTGCATATCTCCCTCTCTGTGATTGTCTTTGCTCTCCGACCCTTTACTTTTTCTGTCTGTTTCTCTCTCGCTCTCTCTCTCTCTCTCTCTCTCTCTCTCTCTCTTCCCCTCGCACCTTCCTCCCTCTTCCTCGCTACTTATGACTCAGAAGTGCGCAAAAACTTTTATCTGTGGTTGTGCTTTTATATATGTGCACATCCCTGTGTGGGCCAATAGACCATTTGTAGTTTACCTAAGGATGAGAGGAGCTGAACCGGATCTGCGTCATCACTGTGGAAAGGTGGGTGACAGAGAACATATAATAAGTATATCTGAGGCTGAGAGACGGTGGTTCAACGAGGACTGGGACTGAGATAGGACACTGGGTTGTTGAAGCTATGTAGACACTGCTTGATTGGAGATATGAAGTGTGGTCCGTCACTACAAACCTGTGTGGTGAAGCACTGTTCAAACACATCAAATCAAAGGCATCCGTAGATCCCGAATATTTTACTTGTAATACAAAAAACGGTGTAACATAAGACGTTTATTTCCTGTTACAGGCTAATCTAATAAATTTCGGTGTCAGTGTCCCTGACCAAGACACCTAACTCCAGAGTGATATAGATGCTATGAAGCAATGGGACAAGCAGATGCAGGTACATGTTTAATGGTGAGCTACAAAAGGGGCCAATGAAGGAGATCCCCATCACCAAAATGGAAAATGTTATTGTGACACCTATTTTCGGTTGACTATCTTCCCCATCTTGTGGGTCCTTCTGCTGATCTTGCTCTTGATGTGCTGACCTTAGGCTGGGTAACACTGGCTGCACCCGTGCCTATGCCCTCGCCCCGACTTATCTGAGCTGGGTCTTCATGATGGGTGGGCCAAAGTGGAGGTGGGAAATTGTGTGACGTCTGGCAATGAGCTTTGAGCAGAGAGAGCATGTGTGAGTGTGTGTGTGTGTGTGTGTGTGTGTGTGTGTGTGAAGGGGGGGAGGGGGAGGGGCAACCGATATGTCTGGGCGATGACTCACCGCCGTATTTATAGCATCGGCAGGGAGGGCGGTGGTGCGGAAGTGGAGGAACGAGGGGGCAAGTGCTTTGGGAGTCAGCCAGCACAGCATCATCGCGCCGCTGACAGGGAGTGGCGGAGAGAGAGACAGAGAGACCGCAGGGATGAAGCCACGGAGAAGAAAGGGGGGAATGGGAGGGATGGTGGTGGGGAAAGAGCAGAGAAGGAGGTTTGGAAAACAGGCAAGGTGGAGGAGAGGAGGGGTGGATCTCTGAGACTGAGCATATTGGAAAGAAAAGTTGAACTGTCAAGCAAAGCAGGGGAAACACAAATAGAACAGCATTCACATGAAAAAGAGCGTATTTAAAAAAGTTTCTCAGGTTAAAAACCATCCTGCTGGGAGTGCCACGACGCAGAAACAAAAGGAAGGATCGGACACAATTGGGTTTCGGATAAAGTCTGCAGTCTATAATGATCATAAAAATCACCACAGTTGCCAAGACACCGTATATTCCAAGTAACACATAAAGCTGTTACATGCACAGCCAATTAGGGAGACAAAAAGACCAAAATCAAATTAGAAAGGCACTATTTGGAGCTTTATAACATGAACGTGATTATGATGGATTTGGAAGTTCATGCTGCAAATATGTACATTATTACTGGCACATTCTTACTGGCCCCTTCATTGACATTCTTCATTAAAAAAAACACATCCTTTCTCCGTCTCTGAAGTGCGTCACGCTGCGTCCCTTACCATAGACACCAAGATAACTCTGCATGTGCGCTCATGTAAGGCTGTCCACACGCGCAGAAGAACACTCTCGGTTTGTTAAAGAGGGATGAGTCAGAGCACCAAGGTGAGCAGCCTTTAATATTTACAGGGGGGTGGAGGATACTAATAATGAGAGGAATCATGGTTGACAGGTTTGGGGGGAAGGAGACCAAAGATAAGTTCAGGAAAGAGAGAGAAACAAAAAACAGGTTTGTGATGGTGGAGGCAAAGATTTGACTGAAATCTGATTATATTGAAAATAAGTTGGGGTGTAAAAATAAGCTTAAAGACCTTTGAACACCAACACAGGAATTTACAGTCTGATGGGACCTCTGTTTAGGTTGAGTGTAGATGGAGATTTCGTGATCATTTCTGATGTCAAAAATATTCACAGGTGCATCAACGCTACAGCGGACAGTTGATAAACTCCAACAGTGTCTGACCTGAGTGGTCTGAGAAAGATTAAGTAAAAACATTCGCGTGGGTGTGCAGAGGCTGCGAGAGGTCGTGGTTGCGTGTCAATCCCCGGCTTTCTTTCTCTTTATTTCCTGTTACAGGCTAATCTTATCAATTTAAACGTCCGTGTCGGTGTCTCTGAGCAAGACACCTAACCCCAAACCGCTCCCCGGGCGCCTTTACGGCAGCACACTGCTCCCATTGTGTGGGATAAATGCAGAGAACCCACAGGGATTAATAAAGGATACTTTCTTCTTCTTAAAAATATGTATGCAAAAGAGTAAAGGAGTTATCTTTCTTGCCAAGTTAAATGAGAAGATCAATCCTCAAAGAGAAAAGAGCACATGTGTGCCAAATGTCACACTTAGATGAGCTCAAAAGATGCTCATTAGTAAAAGATCAAGGCTCAATTGTCTGCTACATACAGATATGAAACATAATCCTTTCCCGGACATGTGCCTTTTTAAAAAAGGATATGCTAGGTTCAAATCTCCACTTTCATTTTGTTCATACACCCCTTCAGTTTTCTTGTTGATCCAGACAGCATACCTAATTCTGCTCCGTATTGCGACCCCTAATCAGCCCAAATATGTCCCTGGCTGAAACCACCTGCCTCATGAAGACAAGGACCACTCACTGACCACATTAATTGGTACAAGTAGTGAGATGACCAGGACAGAGGGAGACGTAATGAATGCAAGCCACTAAAAAGATGTCCATCTTAAGAAAGGAAGCGACTAATGGAGGAGAGGGCAGGTGGATGCCAACCTGTGGGAAGACATGATAGAAGCAGAGCAAAGGCTTTGAGGCAGCGTCACCATGGAGATGTCGGTTGAAAAGAAGGTGAGCCATTCTCTCCCCGCTTCATGAAGGGGTGATGGGGGGGGGGTGAAGAGCTGAGGAGGAGGGAGAGAAAAACAAAACAAAGCCGAAGAGAAGAACGGCCTACATGTGGCCCTGACGCCTCTCTCCTTCTTTTGTGACGATCATTGTTTCTTTTCTTCCTCTTCTATTTTGTTTTCAGATCCAGTGTTGAAACAATGAAGCGTTTGCAGATCTTTAACATGGGCTGGTTGAATAGTGAGTCCTTGAGCTGCTATTGTGTGAAATCCAGCATCTGAACACATTCAGAAGATCAAAATGATCTGAGAATCAGCTTTTTAAGCCTGTGTGCATGTTTTTTTTTATTTTTGCAGTTGTGCATATGAACACATGCATGTGAACACATGCCCGTGTGATTTTTGTGCCATGGTGACGCACACAAGTCGTTGGCGAGCTGACATCATCCTCGCCCTGCAGCTTTTTGACGGACATGGGGATAAACAGCAGCTGGGTCCCCAATGGTCTCAAAGCTGTTGGTTTAGACACTGGAATATTGTACAAAGGGAGAAAGACAGTGAAATGAAAAAGGCCAATATGGATCTGGCTGAATGTGTTCAAACCATTCGATGAAACATTTGCACGCTTTGGCAGTAAGTTCCATATAAAATACCACTATGTAATAAACAAAAGGAGAGAGTACAAATCTGTGATAGTTGTAATAATTCCTGCTGCAATTGTTATCAATCAATAGAGAAAAGAGGGAGAGTGAATGGGATGTAGCTGTACCACATTTCACTGCTGTTTTATATCTCTGAAATAACTGGGCGGGTCTGTATGGAACTATGCACAGAGACAGCACATCATAAGGCCTGTAGAGGAATCAGACCGAAAACCTGGATTCCTGTTTAAAAACACATGATCCATTCGTCATAGTGCCCAGAGGGTTGATGTTACTTTCACAATGCCAGATTGACAAGAAAATGAACAGATAGACATTCGGATATACAGATTTGTTGAGACTCCACACAAAGGTGGATCCCTTGATTGACTTATAATGGCATCAATGTAATGAATTATCAAAGTCTATGTATCCAGATCATGCCGCTTCATGTACTCCACAAATGTTTAGTGGGTAAATGTTGAACTTTTTCTCTCCACATTTATTTGAAAGTCAAAGTTACTCTTCAGATGAGATTTCACAAACAAACCATTTGAACTTGGTGTTCCTTATGCATTGAGGAAGCTTTATCAATGGTTCTATGATGTAAGATGATATAACAATGTATCTAGTGGGTACAGAAAGTATTCAGACCCCTATACATGTTTTACTCTTTGTTTCATTGCAGCCATTTGCTAAAATCAAAAAAGTTCATTTTATTTCTCAGTGATGTACACTCAGCACCCCTTGACAGAAAAAAACAGAAATGTAGAAATTATTGCAAATTTATTTAAAAAAAAAAACTAAAATATCATATGGTCATAAGTATTCAGACCCTTTGCTGTGACACTCACATTAACTCACATGCTGTCCATTTCTTCTAATTCTCCTTGAGATGGTTCTGCTCCTTCTTTGGAGTCCTGCTGTGTTTAATTAAACTGAATTAAACCGGCACACACCTGTCCATATAGCCTTACAGCTCACAGTGCATGTCAGAGCAAAGGAGAATCATGAGGTCGAAGGAACTGCCCATGGAGCACAGAGACAGAATTGTGCCAAGGCTCAGATCTGGCCAAGACTACAAAATAATTTCTGCAGTACTCAAGGTCCCTAAGAGCACAGTGGCCTCCATAATCCTTAAATGGAAGAAGTTTGAGACGACCAGAACTCTTCCTAGACCTGGTCGTCGAACCAAACTGAGCAATCGTGGGAGAAGAGCCTTGGTGAGAGAGGTAAAGAAGAACCCAAAGATCACTGTGGCTGAGCTCTAGAGATGCAGTAGGGAGATGGGAGAAAGTTCCACAAAGTCAACTATCACTGCAGCCATCCACTAGTCTTGGATTTATGGCAGAGTGGACCAATGGAAGCCTCTCCTCAGTGCAATATGAAAGCCCCCATAGAGTTTGCCAAAAAACACATGAAGGACTCCTAAACTATGAGAAATAAGATTCTCTGGTCTGATTAGATCAAGATTGAACTTTTTTGGGTTAATTCAAAGCGGTATGTGTGAAGATAACCAGGCACTGCTCATTGGCTTCCCAATACAATCCCAACAGTGAAATATGGTGGTGGCAGCATCATGCTATGGGGGTGTTTTTCAGCTGCAGGGACAGGATGACTGGTTGCAATTGAAGGAAAGATCAATGCGACCAAGTATAGAGATATCCTGGAAGAAAACCTCATCCCGGGTGCTCAGGACCTCAGACTGGGTCGAAGGTTCACCTTCCAACAAGAGGATAACCCTAAGCACACAGCCAAAAGGAGTGGCTTCGGAACAACTCTGTGACTGGCCCAGCCAGAGCCCTGACCTGAACCCAATTGAGCATCTCCGGAGAGACCTGAAAATGGCTGTACACCAATGTTCACGACCCAACCTGACAGAACTGAAGAGGATCTGCAAAGATCCCCAAATCCAGGTGTGGAAAAACTTCAAGAAGAGCTTGGGAATGATAGCTCAAAAGGGTGCTTCTACTCAATACTGAGCAAAGGGTCTGAATGCTTATGACCATGTGATATTTCAGGTTTTCTTTTTTGATAAATTTGCATCTACATTTCTGGGTTTTTTCTGTCAACATGAGGTGCTGAGTGTACATTAATGAGAAATAAAAATTTAGATTTTACCAAAATGGCTGCAATGAAACAAAGAGTGAACAATTTAAAGGGGGTTGAATACTTCCCGGACCCACTGTATGAAACAATGGACCAGGTCCCTTTTCTTCGGAACAAGTACTTTAACAATGATGCTCCATGCACATTTTTCTGATATATTGTGCTAGGGCCGATCCATTCCTCAGACATAACATCGGAGTTAAGGCTGAATAAATACCATATCCGTAGCTAGGAAAATCAGTTTGTTGTGGTGCTGAATCACTTGCCCAAACACGTCACAATAACCACATGACAAGTTATTTTTAGCAGTGAAAAAAAAGTATTTCTGACACACAACAAAAAAACGTGTGTTTCTTCACTCGTCCTTCAGACTATAGATACAACTGCAATGTTAAAGGGCTCTTGAGCTCATTACATTCATCGTAATCGTTCCAAGAAGTCTGATGTTTTCCTTTTTTAGTTAGTTGAATATCAAATAAGCTGAAAAAATTAAATGAATTGTTATATAGTCCCTGTGCAGTTGTTAATTTTCAGTTCAATTGATTGCAGACGATGAGCATATCCTATTATCCATCTCTTAATGGACATGCAAGGCATGCATCACCTCTTTCAATTTCTGTTCACATCTTTTCTGCACACACTAGGGGGCTTAAACAAGGCTGCACACGCATCAGTGGCTCTTCAGATGGATGTGTCTGTTAACATCAGGAGGCTCTCTGTGGCTCTGCAGAGCAGGCAGATGACGGCACCTTCAACTAAAAAGCACCTCCAACGTTGTTGTCTATATTTGATGACACATCGAGTGCCCGACAACGAGGATGGAGTTGAAAGATTACGTTTCTTCCTTTAACTAATAGGCATGATAGTATTGCAACATCGAATAAATAAGAAGCACACTAGATTAATTAGATGTGAAATGAAAATGGAGGTTGGGGTGGATAAAAGGTGTCATATGGCAATAAGCATTGAGCGGCTGACTGACCATTTGCTTTGCTTAACATTAACTTAAACATTAAAAGCATGAAAGAAAATCCCTGCAATGTGGATATGAAATTTAAATACTCGTACATGTATTGGCTTAAAATGACCAATTCACATCGGTTTTGTTTTAAATAAATGTGTATTGCTCAAAGAGGTGACACAATTAATTCAATTCAATTAGTTTTATTGACTTTTACAGTCTGTACACGTAAAACATCCTTATTCCAAAACCCTCACATCTGCAAAGGAAAAACTCCCAAAAAATATGAAAAACCTTTTGATGGGGAAAAAAAAGGGGAGAAACCTTAGAGAGAGCGGCAGAGGAAGGGATCCCTCTCCCTGAATGAACTACAACGGAAGTGTACAGAATGAAGTAAAAGCAAAGCAATACATTCAATTCCAACAATTGAGCTCCACCTACACAACCTGAGCAGTGGTCCCATCAGATTGTTTAAACGATGCCTTTACAACAAGTATCACGAGCCGTTTAAGCTTCATCTCCCTTGTGTTGCACCCTATGGAAATCCGACACTAGAGGGATATGGTATAGGGTTGAGTCGTATGCCTTTATCATTGTGAAATTTGTTTTTTTTACTACTTTGTTAACTACTGATATCATAATTCTTAGAGGGAAATACATACCGTTTAAACGATCCTTACATGTGACCTTTTTTTCGTCTAATTGACCCGCAGAAGGCCGCAGCTTCGGCCTCTCGCCGACAAGGAGGGTGTTTATCAACGTCTCTGTCAGAAAGGGGGAGGGGTGGGGGGGGGGGGAGGGAGGGAGCGAGCAACTGCGACAGCAACTGCGCGGTGGTTTTGGAGTGTGAGTCATCGTTAGAGGGGTTAACTCCTCACTTGCCAAGATGACGGAGGCAATGATGGTAAAACTGCAGGTTTTATACCAAAATACAAAAGAGTGTTTTTTTCTGTATCAGAATGAAAAGTGAGAAATCAATTTTTAAGTAGATGCTTAAATGCTTAAGTTTACACAGGAACTTTTACACGTTGTTTTGCAGATTTTAGATAAAAGTTGTAAATGCAATGAATGAGTAATTACATAAACATATCGGCAGGTTGCATTTGCTCCCAGAATTATATATATATTTCGAGTCATTATACCTTTCAGAGTAGTGCTGTGAAACATCACAGACAGCAGAAAACTAGTTTTAATGAAGCGAGCTTTTCAGTAAGCCATCAAACAAACCTGAATCATTTATATGGATTTCTGAGGAGCGGCTATTGCGTGTGTTGTGTGATGACGCGGTGGTCAGGTGTTGCCTCATATAACCGGGGGAGCTGTCCAAGTGCTGAAAACAGTAGAGAACAGAACCGTTTCACGGCAGATGCCATACACCTTCACTGCTGTCTGAGCTTTTTTGCCAAAGGTAAGAAACAGTTTTGATATGTTTTCGTTATATTTGAGTTCAAATGTGTTTCCGGTTCCCGAGTCCGAGGTTTGAAAGACAATCGTCTGTCACATTCGCTTGTCGCAGATGTCGACAATGTGTTGAATGAGGGCTATCGATGTGATCAAATGCACAGTCTGAACAATTCGTGATTAAAATGTGTTGTTACTATAGTGAAAAAAAGAGAAAAGAAAACGGGGTGTTGTTTTTTTAATGGCTTTGTGAGGAAAATCGGATGTTGAGGTTGCCCATAACAACGCGGTGAATGACTCATCCAGTGATGTGAATGCATCTCCTCACGCACGGCATCGTCATTCAATTTGCCGAGCGTAACTCCCCGGATTTCATTTCACGGATAAAAACAGACTTGCACGCTTGTGCACGTTGCTTTATACATTCTGGTAGAAACGTAGAAATCGCTTATTCCGCCTCTAACCTCGTATGCTCTCTCGGTTTGCAGGTAATACATTGCCTATAATGCTGCATTTCCACCAAAAGTTGCCCGTGGGGGGAGCCGTGGTGCTACTCGCCTTCCTCCTCCATGGATGCGGCGTGCGGGCTGCGTCTCTTCCCCGCCACTACAGGCTCCGCGGCGGGCAGAGCGAGGGGCAGCCGGCTGCCTATCCGCCCAGCTCCGACATGATGAAAGCATTGGAGTACATCGAAAACTTGAAGCAGCGGAACGGGGGCAGACCCGAACCCGTGGATTACGACGAAGTGGACAAGTTCAGGGTCCTCCTTCAGCTCGCTACGCAGCAAGAAGAGAGTCCCGGCGACCGCCAGCCAGCCCCCGGCGTGCCGAGGCAGGACGTTACCGCTGAGCAGCTGATGAAAGCCATGCTCCAGTCCCTCCAGGATCGGACTGGGAAGGACGCAAACCCCGGCCCCGTTTCGGCGCCCAGGAACGACCGCCGCACGCATAGGCACCGCACCAAAGACACCGAAGTCCCCGCGGGCACACAGTCTGAATACGGTAATTTTCCCAGACCCCACAAGAAATACCCCCTGATGTTTGAGGACGAGGAGAACACGGACGCTTCCAAGCGAGCCACGGAGGACCTGGATGAACAGTACACACCTCAGAGCCTCGCCAATTTGCGGTCCATCTTCGAGGAGCTCGGGAGGATGCCCGGTCTGTCCGGCCAGAAGAGAGACGTGTTCGGGGACGATGATGACGAGGAAGAGCTCGGGTTCAACCTGAGGAGTCCGGCCTACGAGGATGTGGCCGGCGGAGAGGAGTGGGTCCCCGTGGAGGAGAGGGAGGAGACGGAGGAGATGGTCAATGGGAGCCACGAAGAAATGGACAGGGCGCTCGGGGAGCAGGGAGAAGCAGAGAGAGGGGAAATGCAACGCCGTGCTGGACAAAACCAAGAGCAGGCGGAAGACGACACTAAACTGGTAGATTACTACCTGTTGAAAGTCTTGGAGATGAGCGACCAGACGCAGCGCAGGGATAAGATCGGAGAGCAGAGAAAGAGGCTGATCCGCCCCTCCATCGTCGATCCTCGGACACTGAGGGAGTTGCTGCAGCTGTCCCTGAAGCTCCACGTCCCCCCTCAGGACCTCATCGACCTGCTGCTCACCGAGGAGCTCAGAAAATTCCACCGCGAACCCCAAGCCTCAGAGACCCGCTACCCGACCGGGCAGACCCCCAAGATCAGGTACTACAGCCACAGGCTGCCGGCGAAGAGCAAGCCCGTTCCCGAGGATATGGACAGGGAGGACTTTTTAGACATCATCGGAGTGGAGACTATCAGCAACCAGTACCCCGTGGTGCAGAGACCCGTGAAGACCTCTCCCTCCTCGGACAGAATCCCCGTGGCGTCCAATCCCGTTCCAAACTCCGGACCGGTTAAACCCCCTGCCTCCTCCGGCCGCAGGGAGAACCTCTTTCTGTCCGAGCTCAACAAAATGCCGTTGAAACGTCAGGCCGATGTCGCCGATGATGAAGACGAGGATGGTGACGTGGAAGACGAGGTGACCACCTACCTGGCGGCCAAGATCCTCACAGAGTACCCCAACACCATCACCAAGAGGGACACCCAGGCCCAACTGAAGGGGCAGTTCCCCTACGAGCTGTACGAGCGGGCAATGAAAGACTATTTGGGTCAAGCGGACCCCGAAAAGCGGCCAATAACCAAGAGGGACACCGAGGAGGCCACCGAGGAAACAATGGAGCCCGTGGAGATGGAGGGGGAGGAGGAGATGACGCCCAAGACCTCGGCTCCAGAGACCGCAAATGAAGTGGAGGAGCGCCGTGACAAAAAGGTGGCCGGGATGTAGCCTGAAGCCCTGCAAGAAGCACGCAACAATGAATATAGTATTTATACTGTCTCGAAAATAAAGTTTGGTGGACGTGATCTAGTTTACATTATATGAACTATAGCTGGTATAACTAATATCACCCTTATGAAAATGAACTATGGCAATCGTATACATCCAACACATTAAATGTACTATAGTCCCTACTTGCTGCAAGAACATTATAGAGATTATATTAATACCGGAGGAGATTAAAAGGTGCAATCCGTACATAAATGGGTAAAAAATATTCTCAAAATACTTATAATTTCAACGTGTTACCACTCAGAAATTGCCAATTAGGCCTAGTACGCATCAACTAAATACCACAGAAATATATTAAAGTTTGGTGATGTCAAAAGTTTGGTTAGGTTTATTGTGTTTGTAAACAGGCTTATTTTAAATCATAATCAACTAGATAGTGTAAAAAATACTTATTTTTCATCCATTTCAAATTATTCAACGTGAATATACCTGTAAATTATTTAGCATAATGTCCTGAGAGGGGGAACATTACGGGCATTTTTCGTTAGGGCAGCGTGCTGGGCTGAGAGCGAGTGTTGTTGTGACTCGTGATATATTCAGGGTTAGTAGATTTCATGTTATTATAATGGATCATTATTTCCAATTCTAAATATCAGACCGTCGCCTGCCTTCCAACCCTTTCATACTGCGAAGCTCTGTATTGTTGGCCTACCAGTGGTTTGTGCTATGTATGCTCATTTTTAAACCATTTTGTACATGTTCAATAATGTGTGATGAATCACAGACCAATAAAGAATCAGCTGTATTATTTTTCCTTCTTGCGGAGTTGTGTTGCCTTATTAAAAAACACACCAGACACTGTTTACAGAGGAATCTGGGTGAAAGTTATTTAAAATGATGTTGATCATAAACATTCATTTTTGCAAGGTTTGGTGAAATTCAATTACACATGGAAACGGTATCAAAATACAAATTTTAATCATAACTTCATGAATTGGACATGATAAATAATAATGCTATTCATACCCTCAATAGCAAAGACGTGTTAAGGAAGCTACACAGCTTAAAAACAGTTGTCATTATTAGTCTCACTCAAATTGGTCCAAATATTGTTGAAATATTAACTAAGTTGCAGACTAGCATTAGTGTTTTTGGAATAAAATCATTTGTTACAATATATTAATACATGATTTAAATACAAAACACAACAAATTTATGAACCCATAATACACCCCAAAATCAGATTCCTAATTCATTTACATTGCAAGGCAATCACGACTTTTCGGCTTCCTTCAATTAAGCGAATGACTGAAAAAATATTAAACATACTCTCAAATGTAGCTACAATGTAGTGAAGCTTCAAGCAGAAGGTGAGAAGACATGAAGAAGGCCTGTTTCATCTTTTGAAAATGTTCAATAGAATCAAAGAAAATTCCATATCAGAAACGTCTTTGACTCATATGCAGTACATTGGGTTCCTCCCGGCGGTGCCTTTGTGTCCTTTACGTCCCAGGTTAAAAAGCAGGCTTGCTCATATACTCCTCCATGGTCTAGAGAAAAGCACAAAGAGTTTAGTTTTAAAATCACGTTCTACGCCTTGTAAAAAAAAAAAAAAAAGGCATTACAATACAATGAATATTCACAGGCACACATCTACACATCACCTGGTGATAAGTGCTGAGCACACCAACTAACACAAGCAGAACATCTAACCTTTCTGTCCATATTCAAGGTCATCCAAACAGCTCCACCTCATACCACTCACTGATGTCATCCTGAAGTGATAATGGTCAAAATGAATGGGAGGCTACGCTGCACATAATCCAACTCTTGATTTAATAAGTGTTAGTCAACCCTACTCAGAAGCACAGAACAACACACCCAGTTAACAACTGTACCACGCAGAGCCATGAACCTACAGGAAGAGCGGGAAGATTCAGCCAGACACTAAACCTACGCCACATTCCAGGAAGATCTGTCTCTCACTCGCAATAACATGGCAGAGAGAGAGAGAGATGTGCACACACACACAAAGGGGGAAATCAGCAGCACAAACTCAAATCTATGCAAAAAGGAGCCAATATCCACAAGTGTAAAAGCTATGAGAAAGAAAGGCACGCCAAGGACTCAGCACCGCGGTTAATGGAACTTATAATGACACTGCTTGCGACAATAAACGTTCACACACACACACACACGCACACACAAATAAAATGAAACAAGTTTCCATCCTGGAGCTTGATTCATGATAAGTGTTATAAAGAAACAATTTCAGACATCTGGATATGTCTCGATATCCCACAGCTGAGCTTCTTTTAAGATGCAATAAGTACTGCTTTTTTTTTAGCTTTTAATCAGTTTTTTTTCAAGTCGAGCCATGCCACACATGTTACATGCTCACACCACAGATGCAAGCCACGTCTCGTGTTGTGTATGAGAGTGTGTGCCGGCGCATCTCACCTCCTGTAACATGTCTGAGGCTTCAATGGAGCGGTTCACCATTTGTTTGGAGGTTTCTTGTATTTCCCCTCCAATTAGAAACTCATCCAGGATAAAATAGGCCTTCTCAAAGTTAAAGATTATGTCCAGCTCACACACCTGAGGAGGTCATGTCACAAAACAGTAAATAAGTATATTTTTACTTTAAAACAGACATTTGTATATGGTATTTACTGACTCCTTTCCTCTATTTAAGCTAGCATCACGTTTCCATAGTTACACTTTAGGCTCTAGCTGTGTATTAAATGAAAAGAGGGTAAAACATCAAGAAATACATTGCCAAAGTATTTGTCCAGCAGCTCCACGTAGCGATGAATAACCTCCAGGGCGATCAGCTCATTCTCCTGGTTCTCGATGGCCAAGCAGAAATACAAGCTTGCATACCTGAGGAAACGGTGACACGGTGAAGATTTCCGCCAAGTATAAAATAAAATTGTTCCGAGAAGGAGAAGAAAAGGCCGCTGCTTCAGAAGCAGATAAAGTTATTTGAACAAACCCACCTCTTGTAAATAACCTTCAGGTCTTTCCAGTGCAGGAAGTTACAGGAGCGCGGTTGCCGTGCCAACACCATTGTGGTCATGTCCCTGATGATCTTCTTCTTCTCACGTTCGGACATGGGCGTGAACCACTTCTGCAGACGCAGCTTCCCCTGGCGACTGAAGAGGAGCAGGAAGCGCATCTGAACAGCACAGACACAGAGCAGGGTCACAGGGGAAGTGGTGATGCACGCACAAACTGAGGCGACAAAACGCACACGCATGTCAGCATGAAGTCTCCGCAGAGGACACTGTTAACTAACCCTGCCAACACATCAAGGCAGGGTTCAAAAGAGTAGTTTGCTGAGGTTGTGGCTCATTAAAGAGTAACTCCACTGAACAAATACGTCACCGGCGGGGGGGAAGAAGGCGCCACAAGCAGAAATGTGAAGGTCAGCAAGTGATCGTGAAAAGGTATGTTTTTCAAGAGAGGGTTTCAGATGTTTACAGAATGAGTCATTGGACATATGGCCTATGTGTAAAAATGGACATTACGGTTACCCCATTTCTATCAAAAACACGCGGACACAATGTTTTCTTAGAGTCTTCCTGTCATTGTTGCCGTAGGAAGAACAAGTAGTTTGAGGTTTCAATGGGGTAAAGGATGCGGGGTGTCGTGTTGCAGCTCTGAGTCCGAGTTTTGGCATAAAAGTATGTTGCTTAAATAACTGAGACGTGCAGACGTCGTTTCTAATCTAAGATTGTGCAACAATGCAACCTTCTAGCCCAGAACACCACCGTCGTGTGTTGCCATTTTAAAAAAATGTTCTAACTTGTTGTCAAAGTGAAGAAGCTGTTTTGAACTGTAAAGTGAACCATACAGGACATTTAAAAACCTAATTTCTAGGGTCTAGAAAGACAGCAGGCCAATGTCAGTGTTTCCACACAAAAGGCAAATCGAACATGGGAAGCTTTGAACTGCCACCAGGGCAGCACGCGACGCGAAGCGACCAAACCTGTTGGACTGAGGCGACAGGTCGAGGAAACGTTCACCTTACTTCCGGTTGTCGCTTTTAAAGCAACACCACTAGATACTAAACGGTAGAAAACTAAAGATATACAGCTGATTTTCGGTGTCCGAGTAGGCGCAAACGGGGCCCGGAGTGTATGAGGAAGTGGCGCAGAGGTGTTAACGTTTATTTACGAGGCGTAGCACAGCGACGACAGGTGCAACAGGTGAACAGCAGCCTGGCGGCTTTCGACAACGTCATGCGTGGGAAAAACAAACCGACACGTACTTACCATTTTGACGACACGACAAGAGCTGTAAATGCTAAATCAAAATGTTTTTTTAATTGTTTTAAGTAACTTTAACCCTCACAAAGGGTCAGCTGGTCCGGCTGAACACATCTCTGTCTGGTGCACTCCGAGCGGCGTGAAAGTTGGCTGTAACTCCGCCCCCGTGGGCGCGTCACCGCCGCTCACACCCATCTGGATTGGTTAATGTCGGTTTGTGTAGCAGAGGTGCAGCCCATGACAACCTCTCAAATAGGTCTCACCCTACTTTAAAAAAAAAGTTGTTTTCATGAATTAGCTGGTAAAAGATTAATGTGACTGCACTTTGTTGGCGTCTCAGTGTAGTTGCCGCGCGGAGTCGGCGGAGAGCAGCGAGCGCTCCCTTTCCGTCCGATCGCTTCATGTGACACCGATCCGTCACAGCGGCTGACAGGGAGCCGCCAAACTGCAACACTCCTGGGATTATTGTTCATTTGGCAACATGTCTCTGTACCGAAATGCCGTCTGGTTTTTGAATGGAATCCACCAATACACCAGGTTAGTCATCACACTGAGTGCTTACTTTGGAGTTGTAAGAAAACAGTTGGCAGATGATGCTTTGTGTGTACGGTATAATCCTGTTTGTGAGTTCTGCTTTGTCGGTTGTCTAGATTTGAAATGCATTTCTCTTTAAAAAAATGTATTTAGTATCATTAGTTTAAGCCTGAAGACGGCTCATCCGGGTAATATCAACGGTCTGATCACCGTTCACACATCGCTACACAAACTGGCCTTTATGCACAATTACAATAGGGCCATTGACAGCTGGTGTGCATTGAGGATGAAATCACCTGACTCTTCTGAAGCTTAAATCTGCACCTATGGTTTTCCCCATATGCCTTCAGAAAAGGATATGAGGCGGCCTTCAGAGACTTTGAGCCCCAAGACCTGGATGTGTCCGTGGTGGGACGGTCTTTCATGATCACCGGAGCCAACAGTGGAATTGGCCGGGCGACAGCCATGGCTATAGCCAAGAAAGGTACAATACTGCCGAGGTGTTGTCTCTGCCTTTTTCATATTGATAGAAATTCCACTTTTGATACTTTGTTTCCAGGTGGGACCGTCTACATGGTTTGTAGGAACAAAGATAAAGCAGAAGAGGCCAAGTTGGACATTGTCAGTGAGTCAGGCAACTCGGTGGGTGTTGTTGACCTTAAACATGCCAAACACTAAACGGGACTAAGATGGCAACAAATCCCATTGGGAGAGACTGATGCTTATCTGGTCATTCTAGGAGGTGCACATCCACATTGTGGACATGTCAGAGACACAGAAGGTCAGGGAGTTCGCCGAGGCCTTCAAGAGGCAGTATCCAGCCTTGAACGTGTTGGTACGTGTCACCAGTCTCCTTTTAATCCTCATGCCAAATCTGTCTATGTGAATCTATTCTGATGTGACTGTTTGATCCGATCTCTGCATCACTTCTGTCGTGACAGATAAATAACGCGGGCTGCATGGTGCACAAGAGGGAGCTGAATGCCGAGGGCCTGGAGAAGAACTTTGCCACCAACACTATGGGTGAGCCTTCATTCTGATGGTCAAAGAAGGCTGACCGCTGCGGTTCATAGCACAGTTTGAAGTTTGCCTCTTCTCCATTTCTTCAGGGGTGTACATCCTCACGGAGACTCTCATGCCACTTCTACAGAAGAGCCGGGACCCAAGGGTGGTATGAAAACACACACTTTCTCTCAGACACACACACACAAGTGCTCCTCCGCGTCATGCGGACAGCATAATGGCACTGTTGTCCGCGCTGTAGTGGCTGTGTTCTAAGCACACTGGGCCTTTTTTCTCCCGGCCTGTTAGATCACTGTGTCCTCAGGAGGCATGCTGGTCCAGAAACTCCGAGTCGATGACTTGCAGTCAGAGAAGGGCGACTTTGACGGCGTCATGGTGTACGCGCAGAACAAGGTGGGGGGGGGAAAAGAACACAATCCAGGTTACAAAACCAGCAGGCCCACGTGCGCCGTGTACGTCTCCCTCATTTAGGAACGCTGTGCGTCTCGCTTCGTTCCGATTTGTTGATGTGATGCAGTTGAACGGAGGAAAACGGATGAAGTGGCAGTGCCGAGTGCATTGACAGCAGTGGTAGTGACTACATGTTGGTTATGTCTCTGACCATGTGGTGTTTCTCCTCAGAGGCAGCAGGTGGTGCTGACACAGCAGTGGGCCAAGGCCAACCCAGTCATTCTATTTTCTTCAATGCATCCTGGCTGGGCAGACACTCCAGGTACCGATAGGCAGCTCATCCAAATGACCTAAAGACGGTTGTTGGTGTTGGTCATTTTTTGTCTTTGTTGAGAAAAATCACAGAAATGCACAGCTGTCTTGTCCCTCATATGCCGCTGATGTCTACATATGAGTAATAATCTGATCAATGGCATTGTCAAATTAGGGTTCAGTGGTCAGATACAATTTTAAAATTAGATTACATGTCAATATGGGGAAATACAGCAGGCTATTATAACATTTACAAATGTAAACTGCTATTTTACTTTAATACATTTAATTGATAACACATACATACTTTTCCATAAGGGAGGTTTTGATGATTAAACTGCTGTTTTTTATTGTAATACTTTTTTTGTGCTTGTTATTTTGAAGGTTCATTCAAATTACAACCCACAACACAACAGAGTAAAGGGCTTCCACTCACTGCCTTGCGCTTTGGCCCATACACCTCTGTGTGGGTAGTTATTAAAAGATATATTTATGAACAGCGTTCAAGTGGATAGTGTCCAGGACTAGTTGTTCCACACAAAATATGTGACCTCAAACTCTAGTATCAAATGTATCTCCATAGCTAAATTAATATTTACAGAAAAGTGATTTCGGGTTGTGAGACTGAGGACATTAGGGAGATTAAATATATAGATCAGTGCGAGATAGACATACACACCACCAGCACCTTTTTAAAATGTTACTCCCCCCCCTTGTCCAGCTGTTTCCACATCAATGCCTCAGTTCCACCAGATGATGGGCGACAGGCTGCGCAGCGTGGAGCAGGGAGCCGACACCGTTGTGTGGTTGGCGCTGTCCAGAGCTGCGGGCAGAATGCGCAGCGGCCAGTTCTTTCAAGGTGAAGGAGACTGTGATATAGGGACGCTCCTTTATTTCCTTCTGCCATCTTCTGACGGGCTGTTTTGTGTTGCAGATCGCACGCCTGTTGCAGCTCACCTGCCTCTGGCCTGGACTCAGAGTTCTGCTGAAGAAGTTCAGGGCTTCATGACTCAGCTGGAGACTTTGGCCAGAGCCTACCTTCAAAACGCGGCGTAGATTTTAACGCTCCTTCACCGCCTCAACGGCTCTCAATAGTCTGATACAAATGTTACACCACGTGGAAGTGACCCAATAAAGCATTAAGATCAATTTTTGAAATAAAATCCCATGTCCTGATTCCCCACAGCCATGTTTAGGAGCGTAGCTTGGAGGTACCAGGGCGACCTGTGATGTCATCAGTAACTGCCGTGTCCTCATTGTCACAAACTAATGGTCTCAAGGCTAGTTGATTTTACAGCGTGTGTGTGAAATTGTGTGTTTGTTGTTCAGCTGAAGCAAGAACTGCTGGTTTACCTGCTCAATGTGATTTATATTTTAGAAGTCGTGGCTACCACACTGAGCCGTTGGGCCTCAGAGCGCGACCTGGATGTGCAGGATTATATTTCCTCAGTGCTCACACCTTAGATATTTGCAGCGTTACTCAATTGAAAAGTCCAATAGATGTAATTTCCCACATTAGTCATCTGCTCCCATTCAAATTGTCTCATTCCACACAAAGAATGAAAAAAAAGTTATTATGTAGGAGAGTAAAATGTAGCAGAGCAGATGAGACTTTCTGTGAAAAACTACAGAGCAACAATACTCGTTTTTTATTTTGTAACGATCCACATTTGCTGTTTTTAATAATTTTATTATTTTTATACAGTATTGAAACAAAAAAAATAATGTGGTGCATTCACATTTTTCCCAAGGGATTCTTTGCAAGTTTGATCTCTACAAGGGTAAAACAGTGAAAAGCTTGAAGCCGGATCCATCCATGTTAAAACTGAGGGAATAGGAAGACTGGGCCTGATTTAAAAATCTACAAGATGGATTTAATTTCTGCGCCGACATTTTATTCCCATTTAAGTTCTTTAACTGTGTTTTTGTAAGGGAGGATGAATCAGGTTCCCAGCATTTGTCTTTAAAAGAAACTTCCAGTCCATGCGTAACAACAGTCCAAAGAAAACAAACAAATCCCCCCCCCACCCCTGTCCAGAGTCTTCCTCCTCTCAGCTACAGTTCATCGTCTATGCAACGTAGGTGTATACTTTGCGATCTTCTGGCGTCCTTGCCAAGTATTCTCTTTCTATTAGTCCTTCTATGCGCTTTTTAATAACGACAGGGCTTGGGAGAAAACGTGCCCGCAGCTGCTGAGTCACCTGAAGACACAGAGTCACAACATGTAAGAAAACAAGCCTTTTTCTTTTTACATTACATTTCTCTGCAAAAATAAATAGGTTTTGAAGATGAGAAATTGCTCGCTTCAAATTGCGGTCCGTTCATGAAAGAAAAAAGGGGTTCCTTACCTCAGCCACCAGGACATTGTGCTGCATCTTCTTCCTAGACTTCATGATTCGGACAATGGCTGCCTCGATCTCATGCTTCCTGTCATCATCCACTTTCTGCCGCGTCTCTTTCCGCTCGGGGTCCGACTCCCCTTGTTTAGCAGCAACTAGGAAGGAAGGAGACAGGAACAAGATGAGGACCAAATGCAGAGAATCCCTCAAGGTACTGTTACTATATCCAATCTCCGCTTGATGTCACCGTGTACTTTTGAGGGATGAGTAGCAGAGGATGTCGTTTATTCATGTTTCTGAGAGGCTGAAACGCGATACTGTTGTATATAATATATATTATACACATAGCGCTAAATGCGTATGTAGCAAAAATATATTGGCAACTGGCAATGAGAAGTGAGAGCACACTATGTTGGATGGAAGTCGGCACAGAAGCGAGGCAAGACATGTTGTAGTACTGATAGTACGTGCAGTATATAAACTTTGCCCACCTGTCTGTATTTTGACTCTGTGCAGTTTGGAAGTAAACTGATCGTTAACTGTAAACACGTGGCCGCTCTCGATCTCCTTCGACTTTGGCTCCTTGGTGAGAACTCTCTGCGTTGGCTTCCCACAGGCCAAAGACTGCAGCGCTCGCACCAACTCCCGTTCAGGAATATCCGTCTCCTGCTGGATCTCCTTTGGACGGGGACGAAACAGGTGACGTGGTTGCAAAGGAGAGAGATAAAAAGGGACAAAGCATATTGTGAGAATTCTGTCCTCGTATGGCAAAAAGATCTAACCCAAGGGCGAGATCATGAAAGCCGCCGCGCTTCCTGCGTCCCCACCTCGAATGTGCACTTTTCTCTGTTGTTGAAGAGCATGAGGATGGTCATCTGGAAAGTGGAGACTTGCAGAATGTGCTTCCGGGTGTTAGAGCCCGTCACCTGCGCGCCGCCTACACCCACCTCTGAGCCATCTTCCTGCAGACGAAGTAGAGGGGAAGGCACATTTACACTCCAAACTGAACTATATACAACAAAGCCACTGATTATTGTGGTTCAGAATGAAAAAAAGGAAAATGGAATTCTTCCTCTACCTTTTTAATAGTGCCGTAGAAGGTTGCGTTTAGGTCTGCCCCGCCCATATGATGCTGCAGTGTTAGCTGCCTACCACTGTGCTTAGCGAGGTAAAACCTGCAAAAAAAAAAAAAAAGCCAAGATCTTTAGAAACCACACAGCCTCCCTTTGTTCAGAAAAAACAATTTTAGAGAATTAAAAAGCATAACCTTCTAAAGACTTCAAAGGCATGTCTGGGGGAGGGGGGGATGGTGCATTTCGGTGTCGCCGACTGTGTAGGCCAGTAGCCAGTGGTTAGAACTCTTACTGTGAGGTCCACACCACTTAGAGATGCCTGAAAGAGATACACAGGCTTTTTTCAGGAACTTCTCGAAGCACATTTAGACATAACATGACTCATCAGTTATTACATCTCAATAACAGAATAACAGGTGGACAACCTTCTGACGTACCACTGATTGAAGACTCACTTCTAAATCCTGGGATTTAGACGTCTTTCTCATTATGAGATGGATGATTAAAGAATGCCTCGTTTAGAATAATGACCGTTTTGTCTTACCGACGTGGTTTGTATGTGTTGCCTGAACTCATCCATGGTGGTGTTGGATATGCTCATGTCTCTGAACATCCCTTCCAGTTTTGAGGTGAACTGACAGCCACATTCCGTCTGCAAAGCACAAAGACGCAACACCGAGTCAAAACTGCTGACGTGGAGTCGGGTCGAGTGAAGGGCGACGGCAGAGACCGAGCACTGCAGCGGATGTGCACTTTTGGTTCTTCTGTTACAGAAGCGTCCCGCTTACCTTGAGCTTGGAGATCATGTTCTTCTCAGAGTCGTCGGAGACACTCTTGTTGCTTAGGAGCCTGCGACCCAGATGTTGCTTGTAGTATCTTTCAAACACATCCTTCTCTTGCATAAACCGGAACAACACCATGGCCTTGTCAAGGATCGACTCCACCTCCTGTTCGGTCAACTGCTCAAACGCGACAGAGAGAAAAAGAATGAGGAATTCCTTGGGCAAAGAAAAAAAAGCACAATATTGCAGAAGTATAAGCAAAGCAACACAAATTCAAAAAGATACACACCCCTTTGACACCCTTCTTGAGCTTGTCATCAATAAAGAGTGAAAGGTACTCAGGTGAGCGGGAGTTGAGGTTGAGGAAATACTCAAAGTCTCCTGCTATGGTTTGTTTGAAAAGTCTGTCATTGTTGAAGGACTCGAGGAGGAATCGATCAAACCGGGTCTTCAGGTCCAGCAGGCCCTGTTAATGAGACAATTAAAAGGCGATATAATAACAACGCATGCGGACAAGTCGCACACTAGGGCGTGATTTTGGACTTTGTGCATACCTGGATGTAGTCAACAGGGTTCTTGCCCTCTCCTTCTTCTGACACTAGGGCTTTGCCTTGCTCCCTCAAGTAAGAGCTCATGCACTCGCACATGGTTTTCAGGCCATTTGGCACCCGACTGAACAGCTTGTACATGCATGCCAGGTCTGAGAGGGAGATATGGTGGGGGCGACAACTTTTGAGAAACAAATAGAAACGGTTACAGGAAAGGCTGAGAAAAACAACTTCATTTTTGAAATATAAATGCAATGCTTTAACTCTCCATTCAAAATCATTAAGAATTGAAAGGGAATTTGACCTTCTGTCTTGCCGTTCTTGAGCATATGGACGAGTCCAGAGTTCTCCATCTCCACAATAGTCTTCATGTGCTTAGAAATGAGCTCCCTCTCCACCACCTTGACGATGGGCTCCTCTGTAGACTTGTCCAGGCAGTGCATAACCCGCTCTATCTCCTCGTTGATTCTGGCCTCTACCTTCTTAATGTAGACACTGGCACTGTTTTCTGCTAGGAACTTCTGGCTCTCCATCTGGAAGAGCACAGCATCATGTGATTATTTTGTTACAAAAAGAAGAAAGGACACCACCAACAACCGACCAGAGACTTACCTGGAAGAACTCCGCTGACATATCTAGGAAAGGACCCTCGAAGTCCTCCTCGTACACAGACCGGCCGTCCAGGCCGAGAATCATCAGCATCTGGCAGGCGTTTCTGATGGCGCCCCTGCAATGGATGATACCAAAAGGAAAGTTAGCAGAAACATAGGATATAAGGTTGAGACATGCTCTAATTTAACCCAAATATGGGGCATCATGGCAGGCCTAAAGTTAAGTAGTACTTCTGCGTACCGGTCGACAACTTCTCCCTTCCTCTCACGGGCGATCATGTCCAGTAGCGTCTGACGTAGGTGGTCTCGGATGCAACCGTAGCGCACCACCTGGTCTCTGAATATGATGAGGCCGAGGTTGTAGACATTCTCCACATTGTTCTGTTGCACATAGACCCGGTCCTGGGGGACGACAGAGAAAGGAGGGGAGAAAGACCCTGAATACGGCATATATGGAAGGTAGTACTCAACAACCTTCATATAAACATATTAATGTTTAAAGATTTAGAAACCTTAAAATCACAGATAAAATAAGTTATATTTAAGTCTAAAGTGTGTAAGAAAGGTATTCATCCAACTACACAAGTACGTATTTCAAGTGTTTTGAATGCAGAGTTGTATAGAAAAAAGAAAAATACGTTGAATCTAATTCAAAATGCAAACTTTATATTAGGGCTGGATATGCCAGCAGACCGTTCATTACAAGTTTGACAGAGCTACTGACGGGATGCAAATTTGATAAGGTCAATTCTTTGTCAGGAGGAACATCTGAATTATTCCCATTAAACATAAGGCATCAACATAAGGTAA